ATTTATATATATTTATTATATTGACTTTTCAGCTGTGCCTGGCTAACAATACAGAAGTTACAATGACACAGTGCACATGCACTCATGTTACCGTATCCAATAATATAAAACTGGCCTTTAGTCTTTACAAAGGGACCTGTCTTGGCTGTGTTTTAGTGCACTGGTATTTTGTAAAATACGGTCACATTTCAATTATTATACATAACAGATGTATATATACATATACATATGTATCTATATACATTATATATGTATATAGATTATTACTATTTACAAATAACTTCTTAAACAGGCGTGTTTTTTAATAATGTTTAAACATAACATTAAATTCACTAAAAAAAAAAGGTAGTAAAGAGAATTAAACAGCTTTCCATAGGAAATAGTCCTTTCAGCTAGAGTAGGAACCTTCCTAGAACCATATACAAGATAATTCATATGGATTTAGGTCTACAAAAATTATCTCTTTAGTTACGACCTTTGTACTCATTTGCTGCTTGACGGCTAAGCCTTTTAAAATTTCGCACATAAAGACTCATCATACCAGCATGAAGATTTGCATCGAAAGAACAAGATAACATCATAATGCTTGAAAATGGCTGAGAAAGCCACTAGGGGGACATTCTGAGGTTTCAATTGATTATTCACACGTCATAGACAGAATTAAGTATACATAAGGGAGCATTTCAAAAAATGGAAGGAGTTGAGTAGGGCCACTGTTTGATTTATTACATGAGCAATATCTCAGCAAATAGAAAAGATAGGAGGTTCTTATTATATATGTTAGCTTATTAGTATCGGTAATTTGAGTTTCTAATTCATATAAAACTATAGACTTTGTATTTTGGCATCACAAACATCTAATTTGAACCAGTCCTGCATTCAACATATCACATGACACAGAAAAATTTATGTCTAGGTGTGTTTTTTAATATTTACTTTTAAATTAAGAGATCAAATAATGTATAATACTAAAATATGAATTATAATCTACAGTTTGATACCAAACTTATTCACATAAATTCATAAAATAGTAGTTCAATAAAACTTTGAATGCAAGTAACAAATGTGATGACATGGCCTTTGACCCATGTGGAAAGGGTTAAGACACAAATAAATTAAAAACTCTGCTCTTCACACTTAATCACCTTTTCATGTTTAAACATAACATTAAATTCATTAAAAAATGGTAGTAAAGAGAATTAAACAGTTTTCCATAGGAAACAGCTCAAGCTCAGTCCTTTCAGCTAGAGTAGGAACCTTCCTAGAACCATATACAAGATAATTCATATGGATTTAGGTCTACAAAAGCAATAAAAAAACACTGTGTTGTGTTCACACATTTTTCCCAAAGCACATAGCCAAACTGAAGATCAACTATCAAAAGCTGTACAAGTGGGATTTGGCAGGCAAGAAATAGCATAAATCTAATTGTTTGTATAACTTATTATTGTCCTGCCAGTAATACAACAATTCAAAAATGACAACGAGCTTGTCACAAAAGTCTTCCCACAGAACTTATGGTGAACTGAGGAAAATGTCCAATATGCTGGCACCACTACGCCACTAGGCAATACAAGTGTCTCTAGCATCCATTCAGCAAGTTCAAGTCTGCGTGCCAGCTACATCAAAAATTGCAAGCATAAAC